ACGATGATAGGGGGATTCTGATGGTAAAGAAGCATAATATAATAGTTTTAGAGAGACCAAACCATGATCAGAAGCACCTAAGGGTGAGTGTGAAGATGCTGAGCACTGACTAGGATCAGAAACAAGACATAAGTCGAGTAGAGAAGGTAAATGATTCGGGTTGTCTGGAAAGTGAGTTGGAAAGTTGACTATTTGAGTTAGGGATTGAGAAAGACAAAAGTTGTGGGCCTTAATGCCTGCAGAGTCACTGACACTAGAGCCAAGCCATTCAGTGTGATGAACATTAAAGTCACCGACAACAACAATATTGGCTGATGGATAAAGAATGAGGGCTTGGTCAATATAATCAGAAATAACATCAAGAAGAGTGCAGTCTTGAGATAAAGGAGAGCGATATAGAACAAAGAGAAAGGTGATAGAGTGAAGTGGTGCTAAACGAAAGCACATAAAAGAGTAGTCTGTGGATTCAAACCTAGTTTCCCGACAAATGGGTGAATTCTTACGAATGTAAATACCTAGGCCAAGCATGTGACTATTGGAGTCTTTACGAATTAAAGGAAGATAACCATCAAAACTAAGATCACAAGATGAGACAGCTGAACTCAAGTTAGTCTCACAAAGAGCTAGTAGGTCTGGTGAACTTTGCAAGAGATAAAACTCAACAGAAGAAAAGTTACTTCGAAGACCACGAATATTGGTGAATGATAGGTTTAGCGAACTTGGTGATGACTTTGGTTTGTTGTGTTTTATAGTTTTTGTTACTTTATTCATTTTTAAATTTGTTAAAGAACTTGACTCAAAACATAGATAGTACTCAGTACACTGTTTTATAGCTCAAGCAATTGCTTCATTTTCACTAATAAACCCTTAGCCGTAACAAAGAGCTCCAATGTGGTCTTGGCAATGCACACCAAAAGTACAAACAGGGACACCATCCATGCGCATCATGACACTGTTAGTACTCTGATATTTATCAGCTGTTGATGGAGTCAGCCTCTCTGAGAGCTACCACAGAGTTCGGGAAACCTGACTATCAGCCGGCCTCAAAACCATAAAACTGAGTTTTAGAACTGTACCCTCATTTGGAGATAATAGAATGAGTTGCCTAGTCATAAAAACAGAGACACAAGCAACACCCATCCATCAAGTCAAGAAGATCCAACGTTCAACATCCTAAACTGGAAACAAAGTATTAAAAATACATCTGCGCTAGCCTAATAGATGGAGAAAGGGTGCGAGGCTGGTCAACAGATAGAATCTGTTTACCCCTTAAGTCTTTGCCTAGGAGGCCTTCTACAAGACAGCAGCCTGATGCATTTAATATCTGCCCAAGATGAGTATTTTTATCAACACACCATCTCTAGCCTTTACTTAACCAAGGGCCCCAAGGCAGGGGTGTTTTATGTCGGAGTTTGCATCTCCTAGCCTTTGCCTAAAAAGGCATATCCTACAAGGCAGCAGGACATGAAGCAGGTTGTACTGGGTTACATATGTGCGCGCAAAGTTCAAATTACTGTCAAACTTTAGAAATACAAATAAGTACAAAGTTATACAAATGAGTACTTTTAGTATTTGAAAAGAGTACGGTTTATGAAAGAAGAGTATAAAACTCAGTAAATGAGTATAGTTGGTCACCTTAGTTATCTACATAATTTTTTGGTAGATTTCAAAGTTCTTGCAAAAGATAGTTTTATCTAAGAAAATATTGAGTTTAAAATCAATCTTGCTGTTATCATATGTGATGCACTAACTAGAGCATTTGTAAAGTGTATTAAGGGACACAATGGTTATAACTGATGTGAGCATTGTGTTTAGAAAAGAGAGTGGTGTGGCAAGATAATACTTCCACATATATCACTAATTTTAGGCGCTGATTTTTTGTCATCAAAAACATTCTGAACATCTTAGTGGTGTGTTAAATTGAATTAAATTTTGACATGGTGAAAAAGTTTCCTTTAGACTTTATGCATCTAGTATGCTTAGGGGTATGCAAAGACTTATTAACTTATGGTTAAATTACCTAAATGTTGTAAATTGTCTCAGACTACAGTCAATACTTTATCTAGCGGATTGTTCCAGATACGTCATTACATTCCAAGAAATTTTTCTAGAAAACCAAGGTCTTAATTAGATATTAAAAAATGGAAAACAACTGAACTTAGACTATTTCTAATATACACTGGGCCAGTTGTTTAAAGGGAATGGTTTAGCTAAAAATCTATTCAAACCTTTAAGATTTTTCAGTTGCAGTTCTAATTTCATTATGTTTTGTTTTGTTGAAAAAATATGTTAATTTTGTTACTTATTTTGTGCAGTTTTATTGGTGAACTTTATCGTAAGGATAAACTAGTGTACAATGTCCATATATATAATGTCCAATGTATATATATGTATATATATATATATGTATATATATATGTATATATATATATATATATATATATATATATATATATATATATATATATATATATATATATATATATATATATATATATATATATATATATATATACATATATATATATATATATATATATATATATATATATATATATATATATATATATATATATATATATATATATATATATATATATATATATATATATATATATATATTATATATATATATATATATACACAGAGCTTTGTCTAGGGGGCTCATTTGCAAATTTAGAGACTTTTACAAGTGTAAGGATTTTTTTTTTTTTATTAAGTATTTTTATTTAGATTTTTTTTATTTATTGGAAAAATTTTTAAGAGTTTTGGGGCCCTTATGACAGGGTTTTTTTTTTTGAAAGGGACGGGGCTTGTATCTAGTAGCCACGGCACTGTATAAAAGGTATATACAATATATATCGAATAATATACAAAAAAAAATATAAAATTATATTTATTTAATAATTTTATAATTTATATATCAGTAACTAATGGAATGTTATCAATTTATTATATGAATCATAAGCATGTGCTTATCTATTATAAGTACATTTTAAAACTTTGAAATAAACGTCGATTATAAAATTAAAGGTTATGTTTTTCTACCTTCGATGGTGAAAATTACATTTTTTAACTGAAGAGTGTTGGGAGAAATCGTAAGAGTATAATATATTAAAAATATAACATATTAAAAATAATGTATGTGTTACCTTTAAATTTTAAAACTAACAGTTAAATTTAATTTTTTTACAGTTCATATTGAAAGGAGATATTGTGTAAAGAGGTTTTCAAAGAAGTCGTTTTAACAACAATGGAAAAGCATCCAATTCCCGAAATAACCGTGAAAGCATTTGATAAATGATTAAAGAATCGTTTAAAAGTTTGCCTAATTTCAACAGTGTAATTTTAATTACTATTTTTTTGAAATAAATCAATCAATTTATATATAAATTTGCTTTTTCTGTAAATTTTAAACATTCGTATTTTTGCAAGATTAGCAATGGGTAAACCTCGTGGGACTCACACGGGATGCCCGGTAGGCATACCCATATTGGCTCAGAAGAAAACCGCGGCCAAGATCCGGCGGGTTCCCAAAGGGTTTCCTATAAGGGTTATATTTGTAAACCCAAATGGGTTCCTTACGGTTTCAAAGTACGGGATTTGACTGGGACCCATATGGGATACCCGGCGGGCTAAGCCATATGGGTCCCACATGAAAACCGCGGCGATGATCCGGCGGGATACTGTTGGTCTTCCCATACCCAGCCCAGTTGACAACCCGTATGGGCCTCGTACGGTACCCTTATGTCAATGTTGGCTGGGAATGTAGCAATATTTAGAGTCAGAGATAATATTGTGATACCGAATATTAAAAAGATAATCTGAGTTAAATAAACCTTTGCCGCCTCTAAAAGCTTTTCTAGCATTTCTTTGGTTTAAATATAACTAAACTTCTGCATATGTTACATCTGGGATTAGCGAAAGACCAATAACCCAACCATAAGTTTAATTTTGATAAAGTTTTTTTTTTATTTAACTTGACATTTTTAAATCAATTTTCTTCGTCCTGAACACTTTGCACTTCAACTTGCAAATTCAGGCAATAAACATGATAACCATTGTTTTCTAAAGTTGTTTTATTTCCGGTTTGATTAGGTAATCTTTTTGATAAAAAGTTCTGAAGGTTAGATATATTCCATTTTAAAAAGTCATCTTTAGTCATAGTTTCTGTAATTTGTTTGTAAGAACATTGCTTTGCTTTTAAAATTAAATTTTTTTACTAAGACACACATTTTCATTAAATTTATTTCCTTCTAAATTATTTGAAAAATAAAGCAGAGACATTATTCCAAAAGAATATATAGTCATAAGCTTTAATAAAGGTGTAAACAATCACTATTACCCCTTAAGTGATACCAGAATGGAATGCAGTAAGTTTACGGCAACCAGACTGGAAACAGATCTATTGACTTGTTGACTTATTGACAAAATGCAGCTTATTGACTTATTGACAGATAATTTGACCACCATTTTTGACAAGTGCGATTTAATGCATCTACTCGTGAAAAGAGACATAAAAATGATGTTTATTTAGAAAATTATGTGCAATATTCACAGAAATCAAGATCTCAAAATACCTCATCACTGGATTACCACTAATAAGTCACTGGATTACCACTAAGATTACCACTAATAAGCCACTGGATTACCACTAAGAAGTCAAATTTATGTATTTTATGGTTTGTATGTTGGGTTAGCAAACATCAATCACATTTTTATTCTAATTTAACAGCGTATTAATAATACTACATATAGTTTCTAATTTCCAAGTGTGTTCATATGTTTTATTTTATTAATTTATATGGATTGTTTTAAGAAAGGATATCGATAACGAGACCTGATGGTCTTCTGAAAGCCTCTGCGTTTTTTTTTTTACAAATTTGAATACTTAAATATATTTCTAAATTTTCTTTTTTTATTTTCTTTTTTTTAAATTTTTTGGCTATTTTGTTATTTTTATTATTGAAAAATTTAACTACATTTTATTAGTGCTATACCTTTTTTGCAGTTACAAATATACGGGCGTCGATTTCTCCCAGCACAAGACGGATGGCATTTACATTTTCCGCACGGATTCAGTGTTAAACTGCAGCTAAGAGAACAGTTAGGCTAGAAAAAAAAATGATTGCAGTAAAAATCAAATAAAATATTTCTTCAGGCACTTTAAAGACCTTTCAAATAATCATAGGTAATTTTTGAAAGTTTTCCAGTGCTTCAAATATTAAACTTATAATAAAACTTATTATAACTTATTATTATTATAAAACCTATTACAACTTTTTTATATAATATATAGTGTTTTGCTTTTTTTAAATAAAAAGCAAAAGTCTATATATTTTATATATTGTATTTTGATTAAAAACTACATCAATTATTTTAGTTAAAAACATTTCAAATACCTGTATCAATTTTTATTATATTACGTAAAATGCAAGAATATTTTTTGATGATCAGTAGATTGCAGCTTTTAAATTGATTATTATTCTAAAAGTTCTGTAGGGTTAAAGTGTATTTATAATAAAAAAAATTTCCTAGTAATAGTGTTGAAGCGAGAAAGTTACAAGCTAACCGGGCTTGGAATCAAGTAAAAAGTTATTTGATACGTTTGAAAGATATGATAAAACTTCAGATGCAGCTAATTGGATACAAAGAACGAAAGTGATTGCTGAAATGCAGTACAAAAAGCTGGAAACAGTTTTTCTGATTCTTCTTAAAAAAACTGTTTATTTAGTTTATGACGCTTTAACCGTTGTACAGAAAGAAATATTGAATAAGTGCAACTGGCGTTCTATATAGATGCTTACAATGTTAATGAACTTTTTACGAAACAAAAATTAAATGACGGAGAAAAAACTGATGTATTTTTGATTGATTGGACTAATTTGACTTGATTTCACTGATGAATTTTTGGCTGATTTGATTGGCTTATCTTGCTATATTGTCAGAAGGGTCATTGCGCTTGGCGTTTGTTGTAGGGTTACCAGAGGATTTATCCTCAAGATTTCAACCTGTGATGAACCCAATCTATATCATACTACCCAAAGTGAGAACTGCTTTAAACAGCATGAAAAACGATGACAGTTTCTCAGCATCATTCTACAAAAACAACAACTGCGGAGGGTTATACCACATTGCGAAGAATTATTTATACGTAATGAACTTATCTCCAAGAAATTTTGGTGTTTCAAATGTGATGACTAAAGGTATATGACCTTGACATAATAAGCGAACGGAGTTGATACTTGATTGGGGCCGGGTTAATAAACCATAGCCGGTGCCGCACTCGCTATGGTTTATCAAAAACATCTTGCGTTAGCTCATATTTTATTTATTTATTTGGTCATAATATTTCCAAAGTATTTTGGTTATTATATTATAACAACTTATTCTTCAAAGTTTTATATTTCTCTATAGTTTATTTTATATATATATATATATATATATATATATATATATATATATATATATATATATATATATATATATATATATACATATATATATATATATATATATATATATATATATATATATATATATATATATATATATATATATATATATATACATATATATATATATATATACATATATATATATATATATATATATATATATATATATATATATATATATATATATATATATATATATATATATATATATATATATATATATACATATATATATATATATACATATATATATATATACATATATATATATATATATAGAAATTAAAAAATCTACTCTCGAAAAAGATTTAGGTATTTATATATCTCGAAAAAGATTTAGGTATTATATATATAAATGTATTGAACAGACCACAGAAGTGGTCTGTTCAATACATTATGCATTGAAATACAGCCTGCCGTTATATTTGATGCTGTTGTATCAAAAACCATGCTAGCCACACAATCTGTGCAATTTTTTAGTAATTCATATGTTGCCTTAGCAATAACTGGATCCATCTTCTCAGTGGACTTATATAGCAGTGCTGGTATACACAGTAATTTTACACCTGAGCAACCAAAAAATATATATTGTTGAAATAGAACCAACTTTAACTGACTTAGTAACAAGTCTATTCACTAATATGTAAATGGTTCATTAGTTCCTAATGTTACATGAATTGGCTCGCCCAAAATTTATTTTATAGCTGCCTGAAAGAAGAATAGGAAGCCTTTCTTCCCTTACATTTTTGTTGTCAAGTGAATCCATTAACTTGCTATACCAATGAACTACGCTACCTTTTGTAGATTTCCATGAGTTCTTTATCTTGGTAGCAATTGTCTGCACACACTTCATTTTGTTCCTAATAGGTTTAATGTAAAAAATGCAAAAGTAAAAATATTGAATGATTGAATTATACTTTTGGATCTATCCAAAGTAAAATTAGCCAAAAGTTAAAAGTATCTAAAATAAAATATTTCTATTACAATAGAAAGTAATATTTCAAACAAAACAAGAAATTTCTATTTTAATCTATTTCTATTATAATTAATAATAACAATAATAACAATAATAATAATAATAATAATAATAATAATAATAATAATAATAATAATAATAATAATAATAATACTATATATATATATATTATATATATATATATATATATATATATATATATATATATATATATATATATATATATATATATATATATATATATATATATATATATACCTGTATGCTGTTGTGTAGCTCAAGTCAACTCTAGAAGAATCGCTAGAGGTGGTACAAATTATTGAGTGGAGTAAAGGACTAAGTGTAGTAGGTGTATTCTTGTTTCTAACAGCTGTTTTAATAACTTTAGGTGATTTCAGATTATTATGTGGTATAAACACAGTTGTGCCAGTTTTGACGCTTCTTTTGTGAGAACGCTGCTTAGTTTCATAAACACATCCATGTTCATCATGATCAAGACAACCTTTTTCAGTCTCCATTAAATTGTTCTTAGAACATCTCAAGATATTTGATTGCCTTTCTTTTTCTTTATAGATTCTTTCTTGTTCAGCAAACTTTCTGTCATGAATTTTTTTTTCAACAAGGCTAAGTTTAAGATTAACTCAGCCCATGGATGCTTTCCAATCAGTCATCATGCTGATCAGAAATTGTTAATTTTCTGCATTAACCAATTTATCTAGCACATCTCGTGACCAGAACCTTATTGTTTTTGTTAGCTTGTCTTTAAATCCAATAATTTTTTTGGGTATTCTTGTCAGTATTTCTATGGGCATGATAAATTTTTATCAGACTTTTTAACTTCTCAAATAATGACATGATTTCATCTGCCATTTTATTTGACTTAAAGTTTTTTATTTTTGCCCAATTATAAAATAGTAGAACTGATTTAACTGTTTCATTTGCTGCATCTCTCCTAGATTTTGTGGTGAAGTGTGCAAGAAAACATAAAAGCACCTGATGAGCAGTTGGTAGCCTAGATCCATATATATTCTTATCAGATTCAATAGGAATGGTTTCAAGTATAAAATATCTTGGGTCTAAAAATTTAGCCATTTTTACCCGCCTAATTTGTCAATATTTTTAATTTTATCTATCTAAAAAAAGTTTAAAATAATTTATTAATGTATCTGTAAAATCACAACAAACAACAACACAAATGAAAAATCAAATAAAATTTTGGATAAAACTGTTGAACTGCATTTTTTATTAAATTAAACATATTTTAAGATTTTTTGTAATAATATTATAAGATTCATTCATTAATATAATACTCCTATAAAATTCCAGTAGTTTAATGCTGATAATTTTAAACTTTTCCTCCTGATTATTAACCCATTTTGAAAAATTGTGAGAATCTTAAAATTTCAAATGAAATCTGCTACTACTAAACGTTGTCCATTTTTTTTTAAATTTCAGATTTTTACTATCTATAATGAACCTCGCCCACAAAAAAATGGCAGGCTCAATCATAGATCATAAGATCGGCAGGATCACTCTAATATATATATATATATATATATATATATATATATATATATATATATATATATATATATATATATATATATATATATATATATATATATATATATATATATATATATATATATATATATATATATATATATATATATATATATATATATATATATATATATATATATATATATATATAATATATATATATATATATATTCATATATATACGAAGGTTTTATTATTGTAAACCCTTTGCTTTCATTTACAATAAAAATTTAGTTTTTAAATATTTATATATAGTAGAGTTTTATAAATCTTTTTGGGGTGTCTCATCATTATGTCGCGCAGTGTATGAACGTAAAAAAATTTGGAAATATTCTTGTTGTTTATAACTTGGTTATTTCAAACATTTAAAAACCTTGCTACGCCACTGTATATATATATATATATATATATATATATATATATATATATATATATATATATATATATATATATATATATATATATATATATATATATATATATATATATATATATATATACATATATATGTATATATATATATCTATATATATATATATATATATCTATCTATTTATATATATATATATATATATATATATATATATATATATATATATATATATATATATATATATATATATATATATATATATATATATATATATTTATATATATATATATATATATATATATATATATATATATATATATATATATATATATATATATATATATATATATATATATATATATATATATATATATATATATATATATATATATATATATATGTATATATACTCAGCGAAATTTCCATAGTTCCACTTACAATTTGTACATATAAATAAAGTCACGAAGAACTTGCTGCTTTTTTTTTGTTTATTACAAGAATTATAAGGAACGATTAAATAAGCAAATAATGTTTCAATAGAAAATAATTATTAATTTATTTTATAAAACTTAAAAGTTAGAAATATTTCGAAAAAACAGGCGAAATTTCTATAGTTCCACCAAAAGTAATCTTTTATAATTTTCGTTCTAGATAATAATTTTTAAATAAGTTTAGTTTTTAATAATGTGTGCTACCACCTTTTACATTATTTAATTCGAAGATTCGGTTTTTTATACAATCGGGTTAAAGTCGGAACATGATGTTTAATCCAAAACATTTATATTTTTTTCCTGGAACTTTTATACACATGATGCCCTTTGAATCGGCACATTATCTTGTTAGAAAATCCAGTTCTCAGTAGGTAAACCTTCACTAAACATCTTCTAAAAGATCTACGTAATTTCTTGCATTCATTTTTGTTGCAACAAAAGATATTGGAATTTTGCCGTGGAAACAAAATGCGGCCCACACCATGACTGTACCTCCTCCGAAGTTACGACTCATAGCTATGCTATCATTTTTTATCAAATCATGCCAATAATACTTAAAACCATCAGACCCATCTTAAGCTTTTTTTGTCGAAAAAAATTACATTTTCCCATTCTGCATCCCATCTCATGTGGTACTTTACAAACTTAAATCTTGCACTTTTATGTTTTTTTGTCAATGGTGGTTTTGTGATCATTCTTTTCCATTGGAATTGTCCTGATTTTGAAAAAAATTTGTTGGACACGTCTTGCAGTCACAGACAATTCAAGTTCAGTCCTTATTTGTCTTTCTGTTTGTACTCCGTATGACGCCATACGCAAATTAGAAGAATGTTGCCTTTTAATTGTTTTTTTTATTCCCGCCCTTAAAGTGATTTTTGTTGTAATTTTTACCTAAGTTTATAAAATTGTTCACTGAACGATGAGACCTTTTGATTTTCTTTGCAATATATCGATTGGACAAACCCATATCTTTGTAAGCAACAATTTTTGCTTTTTTTCCTTTTTTAACACCTTTCCGAGTGGCATTTTCATAACTAAATAACAAATTTTAATTAAAAATACACAAAACTTTCATATAAAACACACAAATTAAAAAATATTAATCAAACTTCAATTAACTCTTATAACAAGTTCAAAACAAACTAATGGAACTATGGAAACTTTGCCTGTATATATACCAATTTTAAAAACATTCAAGAAAATTTAGTTTCAATTGTTTTAGTAACACATAAAATTGTCAGATACAACTACTGTTGTATCTGACAAAAAAACATGATATGGTTTTTATGCTAATTTTTATATTTTCACCCCATTTTTGTACAGAGTTAGATTAATTAAACACTTAATCGAAAGAATGTTTTTAATTAATTAATATTACTAAACTTGGGTTTCACTTTGATATACGCGACCTCTTTAAAGTCTTTTAAATAAACATGTTTTGACTAATTTCAAAATGTATAATACCTAATAAAACAAATGTTAAATCAAATTATTTGAGTTAACGTTGTTTAAACAGGTATTAAACCACAGCGGTCGGTGACTGCGGTGCGCGGCAATGCATTGGCATATATATATATATATATATATATATATATATATATATATATATATATATATATATATATATATATATATATATATATATATATATATATATATATATATATATATATCTATATATATATATATATATATATATATATATATATATATATATATATATATATATATATATATATATATATATATATATATATATATATATATATATATATATATATATATATATATATATATATATATATATATATATATATATATATATATATATATATATATAGTTAAAACTAGGGATTGGAATCCCGCACACTTTTCAATCCCGCGGGATCCGCGCGGATTTTTTAATTTATGTTCGGATCCCGCGCGGGATTGGTAGATTTCTTATGCACGTTATAAAAGGCAAAATGATAATTGTATTTTTTTTTCAATTATTTCATAAAAAATATACTCAACTTATTAAATTGATAAGATGAGGTAAATGAAGCTAAAAACACAATTCATTTGTAAATCAATATAATTCTTAATTTAATGAACAAAAGGATAAGATAAAAATACGTAAAACGTCTTTTAGCTTTACGTAGAACGTCTTTTAGCTTTACTTATTTTTAAAAATAAGTAGGAAAAAGTATCATTGTAAAAAATGCGCTCTTAACAAACAGACCCTACTTAAAGTATCATCACATAATCTACTCCTCAAAGGACTGCATATATAGACAGCAGCTGAAAAAGCTCGCTCGGCTTCTACGCTTGTTGGTGATATGGTCATCAAGTAATTATGAGCTATATCTAGAAACTTGCCTCTTACTCCGTTATTTTCATAGACAGACATTTCCTGCTTCAATAATTTATCAAAGTCTAAAGAATCTAAATTTGGTATCTCCTTTACATTTTCTGTCCAGCTTTTCTTGTCTTTCTGTATATGATTTTCCAATTCTTTTTTCAGCGATAGAATTGTAGGAGTAAGTATTTGGGAATTGTTAATAGAATCTACAGCTTCTTTTTCTTCGAGTTCATTTTCTTCGTCTTTATTTCTTTCAATTGTATAAACTCTTGTCAATATTTTTTTTATTTCTTGACGCATAACGGTTCTCTTTGGCATAAAAAAGTATTTTCATTTTTTTTAATTTCTTGTTCATATTTTTTAGGATTTTGTAAGTAAACTAGTAGTCCATTTAAATTCTTATTACGACGTTGTGTAAACCTCTCACAAAGTGCCGCGGCTAAATCAATGTTCAAAAGTGATGATTGCTTTTGTAATTTATCTAACATAAATTTAAAAGTTGTTTCCACAGTGACAAGGTTCGATTCTCTCCTGCATAATAGTTCGAGACCAAGTTTTAGTGGTGCCAGACAAATAATTAAGTCATTAATTTGGGACCATTCTTCTTTGGTCAAACGAGTTTCTGACCCAACATCAATTAAGGCTTTTTCAACACACACTTTTAGTCTATGAAATCTTTCTAACATATCGAACATACTGTTCCACCTAGTTTTACAATCAAGAATCAACTTAAGCTTTTTTTTTTTTAACATAGTTGATGATAGCGAGACATTATTTTACCGACTTTCACTATCACACTTGCTCCATCAGTGGTCATGACGATAATGTCTTTTTGGAGGTCGATATTGAAGCTATTTAGCCTTCCTGCAACTAACTTGACGCAATATTCTGCATTACACGATCCATGGATTCGAATCAATCCATGATTAAAGTATTTTGCCTCCATATGTACATTTAAGTTAAGGTACCTCTGACTATTTTGTGATGTCCATTCGTCAAACGTTATTGAAAACTTTTGATTTTGCTTTTTTAGTGATATAAATTTTTGCATAATATCGGCTTTTACAGAATCTGAGAATTTTACTACCATCGATCTTATAGTATTAGGTGAGGTAGGGAGCCGGAAACCACTCTTTAAAAACAAATACCGCAAATCTGAAGATGTGCAAAAACTATTAAATGTAAAGCCATCTTTAGCAACCATGCGCGATACCAGAAAGTTCTTTTAAGAAAAACTTGTCTATTGTTTTGACCTTTTTTGATAGAATTACCTCTTCGCAGTCGATGCATATTTTAGACTCTAGTTCAACTGATTCATGCTGTTTTGAAGTTGAAGCTCCGTCTTGTTGTAAAACGTTTAATTTTAAATCAGTTCCATGTTTAGTTTTTAAATGGATTAATAACCCTTTTGTTGATCTTTGACTAATTTTTAAAATAGCCGAACATATCGTGCACTTCGCATTTTCTCCTTTATTACTTTTTTTAGAATAATTCCATGTAGTTTTAATTTGCGACATGCTTAGTAGGTACTTTTGTTTTAAAATCTTGATTTAAATAATTTTTGAAGTCTTTTTAAAAAGTAGTGCGCTTTTTATTAATCACGTTTTCAATTTAACGTTTTCAACATACTCATCAACAAAAATTTCAATATCCTCATTAGCAAAAATTTCAACATAGTCATTAACAAAACAGAAACGAGTTTGAACGAGTTTCTTAGTATACATTTCATTGTGCACTTAATGACTATTTTATGACTAATCATTAACAAAACAAAACAAAAAAGTTTGAACGAGTTTCTCAGTATACATTTTTTGTGTATTTAATGACTAGTAAACTTTTAAATGAATTTGTTATGCAAATACATTAAATACTTTAATTTGATATCTTTTTCGTCTTTGTTTATAGAATTGCTTTTTATTATTAAATCCTGCGGATCCCGCAAATCCCGCGGACCCCACAGTAGTTTTTGCGGGATCTCACATGCGCTAAAATAATGTGAGATCCCGCGGGATTGCGGGATCACGCAAAGCGGGATTGCAATCCCTAGTTAAAACTTTATGAACGATAAAAAATCATTGTACGAAATTTGAAGTTTCTTATTGAAAATGATTATAGTTAAGAACATTTAAAAAAAATAATATGTTAACTTGTTGCTCTCACGTTTGGGACAGAGGGGAAATTTTTTCGTTTTTTTTTGTTACCAGGCTCTAATCCATCTCAATATTTTGCAAAACATCTTTATTTGACATAAACATATAAATGTTTGGAGTTTATCTTATGTCTGGAAGTTTGCTTTTTCAAACACCAAAAAATACAGATCCTAATCTCAACTAAATAAATATGCGTTTAAATAAAGTCTCAACTATATAAATATGGCTTTATTGTTCTTTAAAGCTTTATTTTAGATCTAAAAATGTTTCTGAACAAATGCTGTTTAAAACTTTCTTTTCATTTAAGTGTTAAAATTTTAAAAAATTTTCTAAAGATTCATGAAATAACTCCCAGTATTGAGTCAAAATGAACTTAACAAGACAAAAATGTCTTCATTTAAAAAAGGTTAAACATAAGTTTGTCATTAATGCTGATTTATTGATGATACATGAATATATATATATATATACATATATATATATATATATATATATATATATATATATATATATATATATATATATATATATATATATATATATATATATATATATATATATATATATAAATATATATATATAATATATATATATATATATATATATATATATATATATATATATATATATATATATATATATATATATATATATATATATATATATATATATACACGTATATAAAATACTATACTAAAATATTTTAGACTGAAGAAAATGTTTCTCAAAACTTTGAATATTTTTGGAAGATCGGAAGAAGATTACTACGGAAAATATGTAGATTAAAGGATACGGTCTATGCCCAATGCCCCATTTGAAGTAGTTTCGTGCAGTTTTTAACAAATACACAACAATAGAAACTGCAAGATTTTTATGCAATTCAGAAAGTTGTTGTGTTAGTTACTGAACCGTGGGAACTAATAAAAAAAATCTGTTAACACAGAAAACTTAATCCCTTCATATGCTTTATAAGAGTTGGCATTGATGGAGCTCAAGGTTCACTGAAAGTCGAAATGAACATCTTCAACCCACAAGAGCTATATTCAGAGAAAAGAAAAATGAAACATACATGAGTTAATACAGTTCTTGTTTTAGGTTTTGTTTGTGGAGTACAAAAAAGTAATTATAATTTAGAGAGGCTAGTTTAAGTTACTTAAGCTGAATGAGCTAAAATAGACAGTAGCAGCTGACCTGAAGCTTATTATTTGTTTACTTGGGCATTTCTGTAAGTTAAACATTAATTACTTTGTGCAACTTCATTATAATTTTTAAAAAGTGATTGCTTTTTTTAATTTATCAATATTAAACTTATTATTTTAATATAGTCTTTTTTAATACTAATACTTAAAGGCACACGGGGGAAAGTATGCTTGCTGTTATTGTGAAGAAAAAAAAGATGACAAAAATGGAAAGTTGAGGTTTTTCAAAGTTTAACTAATTGGCATCAGAAATTTATTGAGGATGGTGAACTCTATAAGCACATGAAAAAACATAGTAATGTTGTTTGGCCATGGCTAATTGAGGAGTCTAGAGAAACTCTTGTTTTTGTTATAGTTCCGCCTCCTGAATTACATTTGTATGAAAATATTATCACACAAATAACAGACGTTCTAATGGCTAAGAACTCAACTAAAAATTTCTTACTTAGTAAAACTGTAACAAGGCACAGTTACAATGGAGAAGCATTTGATGGACCTAACTGTCAAAAAGTATTTCTTGCTTGGATGAACTTAAAACTATAGCTCCTCTGCTAATGATACCTTGTATTTAAGGAAATTTAAATTGACTTTTAATGAAATTCTAAAATGGTACGTAAGTAGTTAATTCTTTCTCACCTATAGTTTATAGTATATTTATTAGTTTTTATAAATATAATTTTTTTAAACTTGTTCATTTTAGTGACAGAAGGTTATTTTGGAATGAATTTTTTCTAAAATTTTCTATTTTAGAAAATTTCTAGAAAGATTAATCAAAACTTGGGTATTTTTAGTGTGCGAAGCATTGTCTTGTTAATATTTACAAAATATTAACAAGAAAATGACAAGATTTGCAACTTCAGAGCTGAGCGATTGCCATGAAGAAAAATTTCGTAAAATAGCCGTAACCTACTCTAGTATGAGAATGTGAATAATTTATTATATAGTAAAAAATATTGCTCAGTTGTAAATATAAGAAGTAATCATAAATAAAAAATGTTTTCAAAAATTATTTCTTTGTATTTGTCTTTATATTGTTTTATTCTACAGATATTCCAAATAATTAGATAGTTGAGATTCGGATTCTGCATTTTTTAATGTTTGAGAAAGCAAACTTTCAGACATAATGTAAACTCCAAACATTATAATGTTTATGTCAAATAAAAATGTTTTGCAAAATATTAGGCAGCATTGGAGCCTGGAAACAAAAATTTCTCCGTCTGCTCCAAATGTGAGAGCATTGAGTTAACATATTATTTTTTCATGTAATCTTAACTGTAATCATTTTTCATAAGAAATTTCAAATTTCGTTCAGTGATTTCTTAGCGTTCAAAAATGACGATCATTTAAAGTTTAAACTTTTCTCAATTTGAGGGGATTGAAAATTAAATATAATCATAATTCTTGAACGCTGAAAGGTTTTTACATAAAATTTGAAATTTTTAAATTAATATGATTTTAGTTAAGATTAGTAAAAAAAATTTTTTTGAACTTGTTGCTCTCACCTTAAAAGCACGAAGAAAAATTTAAAGAGCTTTTTTGTTGCCAGGTTCCAATCATTCCAATATTTTTACAAATCTTTCTTTTTTAGTATAAACATATAAATGTTTCGAGTTTAATCTATGTTTGAAAGATAGTATCTAAAACACCTAAAATAGCTGGATCTACCACTGAGTTAAAATTCCTTCTGCAAAGTGATTATTTAAAAATGCGTATAAATTTTTTTTTGTTTTCGATGGAATACATCTCATGCACACCCAAAGTATTGTTATTTTTTGATACATCTTGAGTACTTCATAGATCAACTTAAAACCTTCAAATCAAAGCTTTGCGCAATTTTATACGCATAAGTTTACTTTTTGCTCAAAAAAAAATACCTTGTTTTAGGTTATTCATAATAAGTAGTGTCCTTCGGGTGTAACTTTTTAAAAATATTTTTTTTAGTTAGAGTAATTTGTAGTTTTAAAGTTTTTATAAAATTGTATTGTAAATATATATATATATATATATATATATATATATATATATATATATATATATATATATATATATATATATATATATATATATATATATATATATATATATATATATATATATATATATATATATATATATATATATATATAGACACACACACACACTAATAATTTATACCGGTTTCATAGAAATAAAGAGAAATCCTTCAGCAAACTGAACATTTGGAGAAGTTATATTAAAAAACCGACACCTCAACGTACCATTGTTCAAAATTTCGGCGTCAATTGATTTACACGAGTTTTTTCTAAAGCAAGCAGCAACGCATTGTTTATAATTCGTATGTACTTCTATTATATCTGTATTATTATCAACTCTTTTTTCTTTGAAAACAGTCACTGAATAACGTGTTAATGATTTTTGTGCTGGGTAACTATATTGCGTTATAATGTTTCTTAGTGACATAATTAGAAGAAAATAACAAACAACGTAGTTTTCACTTTTCATTTGAACAACATTTTAAACTTGTTTACTCATCATAAACCTTTTTTGAAAACTTTTTGTAAGTAAGAATGATGTAGGCTAAAGTAACTCAGTAAAAACTTTATTTGTACGTTTACTACATTTTTCTATATTTTGTTCGTATGTTGTTTAAGATAATAACTTAAATACGTTAATTAGTAATTAGATATTGAATTATTTATGATTTTTTGTGGCATCTGATCGTGAATAAAAAAATTGTCAAATAGAACATTCATATTTATACAGAAAAATTAAAGAATAATTAATGAAAAGGTTACATTCAGAATTTATTTTTAATGCTTTTTGTTTGGATTTGTTTGGACAAAAAAATTGTTGGCAACATGTTATCAAAAAGGCACAATAGCTCTCGGTAGTTTGGTTCAAAAAATCTTTTTTTTTTTTTTTTTTTGGTTGAAAGACTTTTACAAATATTTTTTTATTTTAACTCCATTTTTGTCAAATCAAATATGAGCTTCAAATAGGAAAAAAAAAATATTCTGAACCAATTTGCACGACGACACAAGTAAAACATTAATTTCAAACGTTTGAAATTAATTTACAATTTATTCTGGAAATTATATACGTTCTTAGTTTTTCACCAAAGTTTTTTTATTCATATCCATTCCCCGTGTTTAAATAGTGAAATGAGTTTAATTTTAAGATTTCAAAACCTTAACAAACTTATTTTTATTGTAGTAATTGTTTTATTACTGTAATTAACATTTTTCTCGCCTACACTGAAGCATAAAAAATGAAATTAAGGTTATTAAGAAATTTTTTTTTTTTTATAAAAACCTAAATTAATATTAATAAATAATGCGCGTTCAGATAAAATACATAAAAAAATACTTAGAAATATAATCTTAAAAAAGATTTTCATTTTATTTAAAGTTAACAAGTTAAGTTATATAATATAATTTAAAAATTGAAAAATATATTCTGACGTAGCACCAAACATAAAGCATAAAAAATAAATATGGAATACAAGAATATTAAGAACACCATATAGACTCGTGACCTCTATAAGGCGTCGAATAGATGTCTTACGGACGTCTGTACCCGTTAGGTTGAAACAAAATGATTTATTGATAATTCAAAATCAATGCTCTCAGCAAGCTCACATTTAAATAAAAAATGTCAATCCAAAAAGACATTGTTTGTCAGAGTTGATGACAGATAATTTTCGATTAGTCTTCTGAATCTTTTCTCATTATAAGCATATGTATATGGAAGAATCAAATTGATTTTGTCGAGTATAGAAAATAAAGGAAAACACGATGTCATTTTTTTCTTCATTAAAAATTTGTAGTTCAGTCGCCATTGCATGAAATTTTGATGCATACACATCTTTGAAAGAAGAGCCGACGCAAATAAATTTCAACTGGATTGGTAGTGCCTTACGGTTTTATATGAAATCATTTTTAATGTATAAAAATCAAATCTAAATTGCTCCACATGTTTAATCAGTTACTTTATAATTTTTTTTTCTCGTTTAAAAAAAACATCGTGTACCGTTTCTAAAGTCGTTGTAGTTTTATGAACATCTGTCACTGTATAGTCACAGTAGTTTAGTAACACGAAGTAAGCGACTGTATAGTAAGTTAAAAAATACAAAAATATTTTTTTCACCTTATAAAGAAATATTGACAAACCTAAATCTTGACTAAAGAACTAAAGAAATGTAAGATGCATACATAAAGTGATTCAGAGTCTTTAAGTTCTAAACTTCAAGAATAAGGTTGTTTTTTTAAGTTTAGCTTATATATGCAAGTTTTTTTATAATTTTTTAAAATTGGTATTATATTTAATACTCTTAACTATATACTTCAATGTTAGTTTATATATAAGATTAAAGTTTGCAATTTTTGTATTTTTTTTTAAATATCCACTTTATATAAGGTGCATTATCAAACCAAGGTAAGGTGCATTATCAAACCAAGGGAAAGAACTTTACGGTGCATTATCAAACCAAGGGAAAGAACTTTACGGTAAGGTGCATTATCAAACCAAGTTGAATGACCAAACCTGGGGAACGGTTGCCAACAATAGTAAGTAACCGTTCATATTTACATATTATAGGTGCTTTCTTAGGTTTATAAACTTGTACAACGATGTAACTGGTTTGTTGCATTGCAATATAATCAACGGGATTTCCCAAATTCCAGGATACACATCTAAAATAAATTTGCTCAATTTAATTGCACTCATATGCGATAGCTCATTAAAAATAAGTGTAGGATAACTTAATAAAGCAAAAAAGAAAAATTTGGCAAAAATTTGCCAAATGTAAGTTCATCTGTTTTTAATCAACATTTTATGCTAAATAAAACCAGATAAATGTTTTTCAATATATTTCAAAATGTGTATGTTTTTTTAACAAATTGCTAATTATTTTTAACTCATTTCTTGTTATTATAATTTACATTTTGATGCATTTTTTTACAGTGAAATGCATGAAAGATTTCTATGAAATTTTTCTTTTTTAGGAACATTAATGTCACATACAGCAAAATTTGATTTGGTCGATAATTTGAAAGACGATTGTTTAAAGAGAATAACAGAATAAATGGCTTAATACAATAGCAAAAAAAACTACTTTACTATGTTTTTGTATGCTTAAATTGTACATAAACACAAAATGTTAAAACTTTTAGTTATTTATCCGGATCTAGACTGTTAGACCTAAGTTTTCATTTGTGAGAAGGTTTTTTTTTCTTCTGTACAACAAGTTAATTACTTAAATAACTTATACTTAAAAGAAAGGTTGTTAGAAAAATGTTAAAAACGACAAAATGTTTCATTTAGACATAATAAAAACCAATAAATAACGTTTTCAAAAAACGTCCGTTCACCGTTTCATATTGATGTTTAAAAAACCATTAAAAAACGTTTTTACGGGACCATTAAAAAACGTTTGCAAAACTTTCTTGTGCCCACTGGGCAGTCTAGTTCTGCGTATATTTGTTGTGCTCGCGGTGCATGGGAATATGCTGTAAGAACTTGCAACTAACTTTTACTAATTAACTGTGCTTCTCTGCACAACAACGTTTCTCTTCACAGTTCGTATTTTAAAGTTAAAGTTCGAGAAAGGATGTCCCTACGCAAAAAAAAAAAAAAAAAAAAAAAAATCTACCTGTGACATTTTTATAGTGACCCCCTCAGCTATGAAAAAATAAACAACAATAGGATGAAAAAATGATTTGCAAATAGTAATTAGAGCAATCCACACCTGCGATAAATATATTTAGGAGCCTTTTTTTCTGATTTATAGGTCATCGTAAAATACTGTAAAAATGTCATTTATTGGTCACACAAAAACGGCATTTTACCAATATTAACTGGCGACTTTATCCATTGAGTTTCCTATTAGGCAGTAGCAAAGTAAAAATCATTGAACTTTCGAGCATCGTTAATAAACTTTATGACAGCTAAAAAATAAAAGAAATGCTTTAATTAATTAAAAGTCAAATTTCAAGAAACCTTTAACATTATGTTTATTATGGGATAAATCTGAAAATTGATCACTTTTAATAAACGTGCGTTCTTAAGAACGAAAAACAAATGAAAGAACGTACCTTTACAGTAAGGTGCGTTATCAAACCAAGTTGAATGACCAAACCTGGGGAACGGTTGCCAACAATAGTAAGTAACCGTTCATATTTACATATTATAGGTGCTTTCTTAGGTTTATAAACTTGTACAACGATGTAGCTGGTTTGTTGTATTGCAATATAACCGACGGGATTTCCCAAATTCCAGGATACACATCTAAAATAAATTTGCTCAATTTAATTGCACTCGTATGCGATAGCTCATTCAAAATAAGTGTAGGATAATTTAATAAAGCAAAAAAGAAAAATAGAAACAATAGATCAATAATAGAATCACAATGGCGTATACAAAATTATTACCTTAGAAAGTTTAACTGGGACAGTTTACCTTGGATAGTTTGTCATGTAACATGGCAAAGAAGTTAAGTAGTCCAACGTATATTCCCACCATCATGTACCCGGAAAAGTTCCCAACGAACTGTCATACAAAAACTGGTTTCCAGCGAACACTTTATACGTATTTTCTTGGCTGGAAAGAAAAGAGTTCTTCATCCAAGTGTGGTTGTTCCAACTTCTTGCTGAATAGTATTTTTTTGTGTTAAAATCTCCATTTGCAGATCTTCTAAAGCGACCTTATAATGAATTTAAAAAAATGACTAACACGTAAACAACCCTAATAAGATCTAATCTTTTGTTTGCAATATTTTTACTCGAATATAAAAAGAAAAAACCTTTAAATAGTAAAGTGACCTGATCTACAGATGATGTTTTCACCTAAAAAAATATACAGTTGAAAACAAAAAAAACTAATGTGTTTGCGAAACTTACTGTTTTACTCCACCATTCCACTGGAAACTTGTGAGTCGTCGAATTATCCGCTATCTCATGACCTATAAAACGTAAGAGTATTTATTAGTAAAACGACGTTTTTGTGAAAAAGAAAACTTTTTAAATGAAGACGAAAAAATTACAGAATCTAGCACAAGCAAAAAAATAATGCATGTAAATCAGAGAATGTTAAATTAAACTTATGTAGTATAAAAGTTCTCGTTTGAAAACAAAGATGTTTTATAAATAAGCTGTTTGTAAAAACAGCTTGTTTCTGGAACGGTTTATAAATAGGCTGTTTGTAAAAAATAACTTGGTAAAAAGGGAAAAGTTTTCAGAGTACCTAACGCATACAATAAAGCTAAAGTAACTGATTGTTTTTGAAGCTTTTCATAACTGATCTTGGGTCGTTTTATGAAAAGTTTCCTTAAGCTTCAAATACTTTGAAGTAAAAAAGTCTTTAGGAATTGTGAACGTCTAGTACTAAATTTCAAAACTAAAGAGTTTACTTACCGCTCTCTTATAATTTCTTCAAGTGTAGTTGGTATTATCACCTTTGGTAAAACCTTTGGTTCAGCTTGAGTCGGAGCAGTAAAAGTTTCTGCTATTACGAAACCGTTTGACGATGTTTGCAGCTGAACCGTTTCGACTATAAAGTTTTGTGGTAAAATATTATCTGAAGGTACTGTGTTTGTAACAAGAAATATTGTAAACGGTAGTTCTTGAACGGCTGATGATTGATTAAAGGTGTTTTATGATGCAGAACTTTACTCTAACGAAACTAGAAAAAAAATGTTTTAAGCTACATTTTACATGTTTCTAAATTTTGAAGTTTGAGCAGAAGTGAAAAAAAACTTACAAAATGACATATTAAAATATCTCGTCTGATTACGTTGGCAGATATCTGATGTAGTAAAGAAGTTAAAAACGAATGTAGAATAATTTTGCTCGCCATAGTTAAAGTTAAAACAAAAACTCTAAACAAATTCGAATGCTATGTGTTTTAAATTTACTTTTTTTATCCTTGTATTTTCTTAAAAGCAATGGCAAATTGAAAAAATTCTCAACATGTGAAAACTTTTATATTTTTTTTCTATTAATGATCAATTTATCTATTTATTTTTAATCTTTTAACAATTATAAGATTTTAACGAGACTGCAAGCAACCATTATTAGAGTTGGAAATTACTGGAGGAGAAAAGACGAAGTTTGTAGAGCAAGATAACGATTGACAGACGACTTAAAAAATTGTATGTTATATGAATTAGGAAAACAAGATGAAGGAAGCGAATTCCAAAGAACTGATGTTCGAGGAAAAAAAATAGGCAAATAAAAGTTTTCGGAGTATTTAGGAACAGTTTCAGAAAAAAGATGAGACTTAATTAAATGATGAGTAACACAAGAATGAATTTTAGTAGATGTAACATCATAGAGTAACATCAGAAAAAAAGATGAGACTTAATTAAATGATGAGTAACACAAGAATGAATTTTAGTAGATGGCACAAGAGACGCTAGCTCTTTTGAGCAGTGCTTATTATAGTATTTGTAGAAAAGAGAAGGAGAAACAACATTACGACAGCGTGATAGTGGTTTGAGGTTGGCATCACGAGCAGGTCCATTTATGTTTACAATGCGTTTTTTCGCCTAAACTAAAAGAAAAAGGGCATCATTAGAAGATCTGCCCCAGAAATAGCAATAATATTCCATACAAGGCCTGATAGAGATAAAAAATAGAATTTAAAGTAAGAAAGTTTCGATCAAAAAATGCAACCTTAGCAGATGCTAATTTTGCCATGGACTTGATATACAGTTTCCAATAAAGATTGAAAGTAAGAATTAATCCTAGAAGTTGAAGAGCAGATGACTCATCAAGTATACCACCTTCATAAATATAGATAGATCTAAATTATTGCAAAAACAATTGGCTGAAAAAAATTGAGTTTTATCTGAATTAAAGTTCAGCAGCCACTGTGAGCCCCTCAATGTAGCAGAAGTGAGATCCTTTTCAAGTTCAGATGCTTGCGTAGGTGAATAGGCTTCTTGAATTGCCAGGAATAAATGGTAGTATTATCAGCAACAATACCTTTTTTTTTTTTTTTCTCTCTTTATTACAATTTTTATAGAAATATAAGTAAAGTTATCTTACATTAATTTAAATTAATTTCAAATAAAGGTATCGTTAAAAAATAAAGATAGCATAATAAAGAAACGAAAAACTTGTAGAAGGCCTTGATGTCTTGTCACCGAGAAACCGCTCAAGCTAGCTGAAATGGTTTTGCTGATTTGATATTGAGCTTTAATGTTTTTTTTTTGTTTTGTTTTGTTTTTGTTTTTTATATATTAACTGGTTTTATAAGTAATCCTTCGTACCACCTTTGATGTGAGAATATCTGGAAGCTCGTTAATGTAAGTTAAAAGAGTATAGGGCGAAGGATTGAACTTTGAGGGACTCCTGAAGTTACAGGATATGAAGAAGAGTTTTATCCAACGAGGACAGCTTTTATACTACAACCGGTAAGGAAGGATTCAATAATCTTAAAGATGTTACCAGATACACTGTAAAAAGAAAGCTTATGGAGAAGACCAGCATGCCAAACTTTATTAAAAAATTTTAGAAATGTCAAGAGCGATGGACTTAACCTCTCCACCTTTATCTAACGCACATTAAAAAATATCGATTATTACTGTTAGCAAATCAGCTATAGAACGAGAGGACTGAAATCCATCTTGATGATCAGAATATAAGTTGTTAGATTCAAATTGAGAGATTAAGTGTTTGTTAAATATAGATTTAAAAACCTTGCTTATAATAGAAAGAAGACTAATGGGACGGTAGTTAGATGAGTCAGATCGCTTTCCAGAAATTTTGATTAGAGGGTTAACAGAATCTGCTTTCCAGCATGCCGAAAAACAACATCCTCATAAGTACTTGTTAAATTGTTTTGAAAGTATGAATGACATCTCTGGAGAACACTTCTGCAAGACTACAAGAGGTAAGTTGCAAGACTATAAGAGGTAAGTAAATCACTTTTGATACAGAAGCTAGAATGATACGAATGTCAGGAGTGATACGAATGTCAGAATGTCGAAAGGATCAGTTTGAAACTGTTTGACGGCTAAGTATTGTAAAGCGCAATTAGTGTAATCAAGAAATGGTATTGATGAAAAGTTCTTAGCAAACAAATCAGCTTTGTTTTTAGGTGGGGTGATAAAAAAAACAGCTTTGTCTTTAGGTGAAGTCTGAACCATACAAGAGAGGTAGAATAACACCCTTATTATT